ATTATTAAAAAAAATCTCTTTTTTTTCATATTTTAATCTAAAGAAAATCACCATTGTGTTCGTAATTTTAAAAATGATTGTTTCCAAAAATTTGCTTTGAACAGTTGTAATTGTGAAAAACAATTTTTTTGATAGATTGCAATGAAAAATATTAAAAAATCAAGAATTTAACAAAAACATTTTCTATAGAAAAATGAAATTAAGGAAAATAACACAAAATTTTTGTTCCTTGTAAAATTCTGTAAAAGTGGACTGTTTTGTAAATTGACAATTTTTTTTATTTCGAAAGAAAATCGGATCTCTTGTAACAGTCAAATATACCATACAGAGTGTTTGAATTTTTTTTTGATAGATTGCAATTGAAAAATATTAAAAAATCAAGAATTAAACAAAAAGATTTTCTATAGAAAAATGAAATTAAGGAAAATAATACAAAATTTTTGTTCCTTGTAAAACACTGTAGAAGTGAACTGTTTTTTAAACTAACAAAATTTGACATTTCGAAAGAAAATCAGAGCTTTTGTAACAGTCAAATATACCATTCAGTGTTTAAATTTTTTTTTGATAGATTGCAATTGAAATATATTAAAAAAATCAAGAATTAAACAAAAAGTTTTTCTATAGAAAAATGAAATTCAGGAAATTAACACAAAATTTTTGTTCCTTGTAAAACACTGCAGAAGTGGACTGTTTTGTAAATTGACAATTTTTTTATTTCAAAAGAAAATCGGAGCTCTTGTAACAGTCAAATATACCATAGTGTTTAAAATTTTCTTGATACATTGCAATTGAAAAATATTAAAAAATCAAGAATTAAACAAAAAGATTTTCTATAGAAAAATGAAATTCAGGAAATTAACACAAAATTTTTGTTTCTTGTAAAACACTATAGACGTGGACTGTTTTGTAAATTGACAATTTTTTTTATTTCGAAAGAAAATCGGAGCTCTTGTAACAGTCAAATATACCATACAGAGTGTTTAAAATTTTCAAAAGTTTTTCCAAAATAATTTTTGAGATTCAACGCTAAAACATAAATTTTAATAAGTTTATTTCAACGAATTATTAAAAAACTAGCCTTTTTTTTCTATTTTAATCTAAAGAAAATCACCATTGTGCTCGTAATTTTAAAAATGATTGTTTCTAAAAATTTGCTTTGAACAGGTGTAATTGTGAAAAACATTTTTTTTTTTGATAGATTGCAATGAAAAATATTAAAAAATCAAGAATTAAACAAAAAGATTTTCTATAGAAAAATTAGTTAGTTTGATGAAAATTGACTTTTTTAACGATTTTCTACTTTTTGTTAAAGAGAAAACATTGAATTTTGTAACACTGAGTGTAATTTTTTGTATTTTTTTTATTTTAATTAAGAACACTTTTGTTTTTTTTTTCCAAGAATGACATTATTTTGCAGTTACGTTTTGCCCAATCACATGATGTTGCAAATTTCCGAAGTACTTCCGCGAGAAATGCAAGGGATTTTGGCTTGTTGCAACCCGATTCCTCCTTTAGTAAGGTCTCATTTACTCGAACTACATCAAATTATTTTAAAAGCACGTGACCAGCCTTTGGAAAAAGTAAATAATGTTTTTTTTCTCTTTATTTTGTGTCATTATGCACTTTTAGGCAATTCTAAAAGACACAACTGGTCGTGGTGTTTTGAAAGAAATATCCAAAGTTAATATGGACAGTGTCCTGCATTGCCCACATGACTTAACAAAAACAAATGAGTTTCGTGACGACTTACCAACTCTTTTACAAAATAATCAAAATAAAAGACTAGCCGAAGTCGAGTTATCTATTGAAAAACCTTCATCGTACTCAATTTTCAACACTGATGAAGCTTTCAACGAACACGAAACGTTTAAGAAACTGTGCGGGTTTACCTATTTCAGTCCTTATGAAAGGTACAAGTTGGTGAAGCCGTTTGTTGTCGCTGAAAATGAAGCACAAGCTGAAAAAGAAAAACAACAAGAGAGGACTGATGATGAAAGAATAGCTTCGGTATTGTAGTCTCGCTTTTGTTTCAAGTTTTAAATTCTGTCCTCAGATTAGGGATCATTTCGTCCAGTTATCGAAGAAGTTTAGTGAAGATTTGCAAGCGCAAAAAGAGGAAGAAGAAAAGGAGAAAGAATTGTCTTTAAAACAAATGGGAGCTTCAAGGAAACGAAAGAGAGAAGAATCCCCAGATGTGATAATAGTTGAGGATAATTTAGAGTCTCCTGTGAATGATATCGTCGATGAAAATAATTTCTATCGGAGGAAAAAGCCACGCAAGAGGAAATTTTCCGAAATTAATAACAAGAATAAAAATGACGGTGCACAAAATCAGACTCAAGGTGGCAAGAACAAAAAAAAGAAGAAAAATGGGAATAGGGGGGCACAAAGTGAAGGAAATAAACAAAATCAGGCCCAAACTGTGCCCAAGAATCAAAAGAAAAATAAAAAATTTCAAGGAAATAAACCAAAGCAGGCTCAAAGTGTGTCGAAGAAAGACAAAAGGAGAAATTTTGACCAGAGGCCTCCTCAAAATCAACACAAAAAGAAGTTTATCGAGAAAAATGCACCACAGAATTCGAGTTTTGTGCCGTATGATTACTCCTCTGTTGATTTCAGGCAGTTTCAAGGTGGGGCTGGGAGTGTCAGTGGTGGGGTGCAGATTAAGCAGCGTTTTCAACCCAAGGTGAGTAATTTATCTACATGAAATTGAGTACTAGTCGAATTTTAGAATCGCGGAAAACACAACAACAAAAAGGGGACAAAATCATCGACGTTCCCCAATAACAGGGGGCAACACAAATAATTGTTTATAGAATATTATTGTATATTTTTTCAATAATTGGTTATAATTTACAAGTGCGTTTTAGCAGTCCTTAAAATATCATATTTATCCCTTCCGCAAGCCCCCTTAAAGTCGTCCAAAGACAAGTCAACAATTGCAATTCCTCCCAGTCCTTTAGCTTTCACATAGCTGGCTTTATATCCCGCCGTATCGGTGTCCTCATAGCCGACCCAAAGGCCCCCATTGTTATTTTCATCAGGAAGTCTGAAAATGTAGGATCCTTTGCGTTTTGAAGGATCTGCGACTCTTTTAACTTGGAAGGCTTTCTGGATTTTGGCGTTTTGTGGGTCGTTTAGTAGAGTACAAATTTCGGGATAGCTAAGAAGACCGGCGTCTTTGGTAAGGGGGCCCGGTTCAGCGGGGCCTGAGATGTGGAGGGGTGGAGTGCCGTTGATGTCGGATTCGTCGTCCATTGCCCAAGCACGGCCGAAGGTTGGGAGGCCTAAGATGATTTTCGAGCTGGGTGCTCCGTTACTCATCCTAGTTTATAAAAATTAAACAAATTTTTAATATTAAAATGATTAATTTTCCTTAAGTTGGTAGTATCGAATTATTGGATATCAAATTGTGTCAGATGACGGGCATGCCAGCGGCCGCCCCTTGGAAGTGAATGACAATTCACTATAGAAATGTGACGTTTGAGTTTGATAGCTAATGTTGCCAACTTAATTTCAAGTCATAGGACACTTTGATTGGAAATTTTTCTATTTTGCTGTCGCTATTTTGACACTGTTTTAACAAAAAATTGTGCTACTTTTTGTTTTCTTAAATAAGTACTTTCTTTATACAGGGTGATACACATAAAACTACAGTAAGTCTGACCAACGAGCACCCTGTATAAGTTTCTTTTGTATTTTGTATTTTTTCTAAGAAAAACAGTGCTACTTTTTTTCTTTTCTTAAATAAATACTTTCTTTACAGGATGATTCATATAAAACTACAAGTCTGACCAACTTCAAAAATTAGATTTTATTTAAGCGTATTTTTGACAATTTTCTCAAAATTTATGGCATTACTTTTAGGGATGACCAAAATAAAAAGTTAAATTATTAATTTTTATATGGGTCACTTTGTATAGATATTTTTTCTGTATATCACGGTGAAAAACAAAATAAATGACCTCAGAAATAACATTCAAAGAAACAAAAAACATTACTACTTTTTTTTAATTCTCTTAAAATTACAAGTCTCTCAAATTTGACATTTTTTAGGGATGACCAAAACAAAATGTTAAATTAATATTTTTTCTAAATTAAGCTAGGCTTGCAGTTTTATATAAATCACCCTGTATAGGTATTTTTTTTCGTTTATTACAGTGAAAAATAAAATAAAAACCTCGGAAATAACATTAAAAATTACTACTTTTGCTACTTTGCTTTCTTTATGTAGGATGATTCACATAAAACTTCAAGTCTGACCAACTTCAAAAACTAGATTTTATTTAATCGTATTTTTGACAATTTTCTTAAAATTTATGACATTAGGAATGACCAAAATAGAAAATTAATCTATTAATTTTTATATGAATCACTGTATAGATATTTTTCCGTATATCACAAAAATAAATGACCTCAGAAAAAAAAACATTACTACTTTTTTTGATTCTTATAAAATTACAAGTCTCAAAATTTGACATTTTTTTAGGGATGACCAAAAATGTCAAATAATTATTTTTTCCAAATAAAGCTAGGCTTGTATTTTTATATAAATCACCCTGTATAGGTATTTTTTTCGTTTATTACAGTGAAAAATAAAATAAAAAACCTCGGAAATAACATTAAAAAAGTACTTCTTTTTTGGTTTCTTTATACAGGATGATTCACATAAAACTTTAAGTCTGACCAACTTCAAAAATTAGATTTGATTAAATCGTATTTTTGACAATTTTCTCAAAATTTATGACATTATTTTTATGGATGACCAAAATAGAAAATTAAATTATTAATTTTTATATGAATCACTTTGTATAGATATTTTTTTGTGTATCACAGTGAAAAACAAAATAAACGACCTCAGAAATGACATTCAAAGAAAAAACATTACTACTTTTTTTGATTCTTATAAAATGACAAGTCTCTCAAATGACCAAAACAAAATGTTAAATTATTATTTTTTCTAAATTAAGCTAGGCTTGTATTTTTATATAAATCACCCTGTATAGGTATTTTTTGCGTTTATTACAATGAAAAATAAAATAAAAGACCTCGGAAATTGCATTAAAAGTGTTACTTTTTTTTCTTTTCTTAAATAAATACTTTCTTTATACACGATGATTCATATATGTATAAACTTCAAAAATCATATTTTTTGCCAATCTTTTAAAGTTTTTTTAGGGACGACCAAAACGTAAAAAAATAAATTATTAGTTTTTCTAAATCAAGATCACAATGAATTAAATATAAAATTCAAATTTTTGAATATTGATCGAAAATTTTGAAAATGTTATTTTGTAAGCAATTTTCTCACCAGTATTTGACTTGAGCATCAACATTTTCGTCGTTTCGTCTGTCAACCAGCTCGTAGAGGGGCGACGGATAATCAGCTTCTTTGGGGTTCCTTGCAGGCGTGTAAAAATCGAAAGCTTCAAGTACGATAAATTCCAAATTGGGTGCCAAATTTCGTGGATCGTAATAGACTGAAAACGAGTAATTACAAGTCTGAAAAAAATCACTCGCTGTATTATTACCAGTGCTGTTAACATTGGGCAAGACGGTCAAAGTCACCAACAAATTCTCGGCCCTGAAAGCCCCCCGAAGCTCTCTGACTAAACTAACAAATTGTTCGCGATGTTCGGCGGCATTTTCGTCCAAAATCTTGTCTCCGGTGACGGTTTTCTTCACCGAATGCCAGATACTTCCGAGTTTTGATCGGATTTTCTTCGGTTTGTTCTCGGGGAACTCCCAGGCGAGGTCCAAGCCATCGAAACCGTAGGCTTTGATGAGGGTGTAAGCGGAGTTGACGAAAGCGAGTCGACGAGTTGTAGTTTCCAACTAGAAATAATTATTTTTAGCCCAGTCAAATTAGACAAATCGGTGGAAAAAAATCCTAGAGCTGGAATTTTTTTAAAACGCTTTCTTTACACTTGGGTAAACATATATTAAAAGTTCCCGAAGGTAGGGGGCGAGCTCGAGGAGGGGGAGGGGGTTAAAGATGTTTTTTTTGGTTTTTTGCTTATATCTCGGAAATTATCACTCCTATAGGTTTTTATCTTCTTAGCAAAATTAAAGCTTACAATTTCCTACAAAAATGGTCCTTTGCATTTTTGTTGTAGGACTAACCGTAAGCGAGTTATAGGGCAGAAAAAAATATCATTTAAAAAAATTGCTTTATCTGCATTTAAAACAGAATTAGTCTTGTAATTTAAAAAAAAAAACTGATAGTAAATTAAATTTACTGGGTCCAATACTTCATTAAAGGAAGGGGGAGTCACGAGGGTCTATAAATACAAACTCATCGTTTATGTAATTTATGCAGAATTTTCTATTTCTGCATAAAAATTTCCTACAAAAATAGTCCTATTCATTTTTGTCGTAGGACTAATCGTAGGCTTCAAAAGCTTGGAGTCTACATAAAATTGCATTAAAAATCCTTTGAAACACATTTCATTAATATATGGTAAGTATTTATACAAGGTGATTCTTTTAGGGCCTATATTAGAAACTTTTTAACTTCTAATGCAGATAGAAATTTGAAATTTTGTACACAACCCAAATCAACCAGTCTGAGTTCAACTAAATTATTTTCAAAATGGCTGAACTTCCGGAACTACGAGAAATTGGCGCCAACTTTGAAATTTTAAATGGTAACCAATTATTTTTATTGCATTTTTGAATTCTCCTCTCCAAACTGAGTAAAATGTACCTAGTTGTTAGTACTTATCTATCATAGTTTTTTACATATGTCAATTTTTTGCTCAAAATTTTCATTTGCGGAGGTTTATTAAAAACATCACAGCTCTTGAACCGTTTGCAATAAGTAAATAATTTTTCTTGCATTTGATAACCAAAGGTTCGAAGAGTTTCCTAAAATTTTCAAAATTGTCAACTGATAAATTGCAAAGCTTATATGATTTTTTGAAAATGATATGTAACAAACAGCTATAAGTTTTTTCAAATAAAATGACCCCATTTTCTCAACGGCAATCGAAAGTACATCGATTTGTAGAAGGACTTTTATCAACATGTCTCTTACAGTTTCTGAAATAATCACGAAAAACGTGGTTTTGTTTTTTATTTTTATAGTAAATCACGTAGCCTTTGGAAAATGATCAAAACGAATTAAAGATTTATTAGTCTACACAACACCCATCCGGAATTACAAAGAATTGAGGCGGCATTTAATAATCTTCAACCAAATGAATATAATAATGGAAGCCACTCAAATCAGTTCACCATCGAGTTTTGGACTGTTTGAAAATGGTAAACATATCGAACATCTGCATTAATTATAAGTATATCTTATTATATTTTTCCAAAGCCTACGTGATTAACTATAAAAATAAAAACATTAACATGTTTTTTGTGATTATTTTAAAAACTATAAGAGATAGGTATAGGACATGTTGATAAAAGTCCTTCTACAAATTGATGTAGTTTTGATTGCCGTTGAGAAAATAGAGTCATTTCATTTGAAAAAACTGAGTTAAAGCTGTTTGTTAATGATCATTTTCAAAAAATCATACTAGCCTTGCAATTTGACAGTCGACAATTTTGAAAATTCTAGAAAACTTTTCGAACCTTTGGTTTTCGAATGCAACAAAAAATATTCACTTATCGCAAAGGGTTCAAGAGCTGTGATGTTTTGAATGAACCCCTGCAAGTGAAAATTTTGACCAAAAAATTTACATATGTCAAAAACTATGATAGTTAAGTACTAACAACTAGGTACATTTTACTTAGTTTAAAGAGGAGAATTCAAAAATGCAATAAAAATAAGTGGATACCATTTAAAATTTCAAAGTTGGCGCCAATTTCTCGTAGTTCCGGAAGTTCAGCCATTTTGAAAATAATTTAGTTGAACTCAGACTGGTTGATTTGGGTTGTGTACAAAATTTCAAATTCCTATCTGCATTAGAAGTTAAAAAGTTTCTAATGTAGGCCCTAAAAGAATCACCTTGTATGTGTAGAGCGTTCCTCAACTAAGCTGGTCTGCCTGAAAGGTGACTCGGGTGTAAACATTTAAACGGAGATATAAATAAAAATTTTGGATGAAAGAGAGAATCAATCTGTAAGTGGGTTAAAGGGGGTGTAAATGTTTAAACAAAGATATAAACATAAAATTCTTTAGAGGTGTAAAGGGGCACTAAAATCAGATTTGTCGAAAATTAGTTTTTAAGGGAATAAAACGGTGTACACATTTAAAGGGATATAAAAACATTAAATTTAGAAAATATGATCCTTAGAGAGAGTAGAAGTGCACTTTTCTAATTTTAATGAAATAAAATAGAGCTTAAACGCTTAAAAACAAAATTAGAAACATGAAATTTCGAATTTTGAGAGTGCAGAAGTGCACTGAGACGACACTTTATGAAAATCAACATTTAATATTTATCCATAAACATAGCCCATGCGAAGAACGAGACTACTATAACTGAATCCTATACATAACATAAGTAATTATCTAGTTTTATAGAGACCTAAGTCTATGGAATAATAAATAAATCATAGATATTAAATCATCTATTTATTAATATTGTACTGAACAAGACTGTAAATCGGTTTTCAATGTTTAAGTTGAAGACGAAGATGCAGCATATGAGAACGACTCCAAAGACTTTATAGACTCTCTAATGAAGTGTTGCACCTAATAAATTCAATTTGCTTTCAGTTTTTTCAAATCACAAGATTAATAAAATAAATTTATTTAAGAAATGTATTTTGCAAGTATACAGTATGTTCCCGGATTAAGTTTACAAGAGGAAAAAAAGTTCACCTTTGATTTTACGCTAAAACTGCAAAGGAAAAACATTTTTAGCTTGACTTGACTTCTACAGCTTTCAAAAATCAAGATTGTAGAACTAGTTTTAAATGCCAGAATTTTTTTGCCAATTCCTATCAAGTTATTTCTTTTATAATCAAAATTCTAAACTTAATAATACATTTTATAATAGTCAGTCAAAAGGAAACAAATTTTTACCTTTGATTTTACGCCCAAAAAGCAAAGGAAATACTTTTTTTCTATAGCAGATGTTAAACTACTTCTTTATAAACTCTTTTGACTAGATAAAGTATAGCAAGGGTTGTTTTTGCTTTATCTGAAACGAGCAAATCTGTAATTAAAACTTCATTATTCTGACGCAGTGGAGAGATAAGTTAATTTTTTTCTTACTTTTGGACTTGTAATAATAATCTTTCTTTGCTTTTCAAGTCCCATCGCATTGGCGATTTTATTTTTCTGTTTTAAATACGGATAAAGCACATTTTTTATATGATGTTTTTTGTCAGCCCTATAACTGGCTTAAAGACCATTTTTGTAGGAAATTTTGTAGGCTTTAATTTTGATAAGCAGGCAAAAACCGTTAGGAGTAATAGTTTCCGAGATATAAGCAAAAAAACAAAAAAAGACACCTTTAGTCCCTCCTCGAGCTCGCCCCCCACCTTCGGGGACTTTTGATATATGTCTACCCAAGAAAAAAAAGCGTTTAAAAAAATCCAACTCTACTATTTTTGTCTAATTTGATTGGGCTATTTATGACCTGGAGAAGCCAACTAAAACTTACCAAATTTCTGTATTTGATGTTCTTTTCTTCGTCTTGGCCGCTGACATCGGCGTTGCCGCCCACTGAGAGTAAAACTTTCAGTTTCGGGAAACGTTTTTTCAGATCTGTTACTTTTCGGTAATTGTCTTTGATTACGTCGAATTGCTCATTGAGGGGGGTTAATTTGTAAGTTTCTTCGTCTATGGCGGCGTAGCCGTAGATGAGGTGGGTGCAATACTGCAAAGCGGGTTCTAAATCGGTGATTTCGAATTTGGCCTGACCTGAAAAAAATTCAATCAAATTTAAATTTTGCTAACACAATTACGACATCAAGGTTGGCCAATTTTCCATTTTAAAATCAGAGATTGTTGCTGACCGTTTCTTTGAATTGAAACACATGTTTTCGTGGTGATAACCTTCTCTGAGATAAATAAATAAATTGGAATTGTTTATAAATTAAAAAATATCAATAAATTATTGGCTTTCTAGAATTATTTTGTACGTGACGTATGATTTAGCACCTAATTACGTAATTTATATTCAGCCGCCTCAATGGTCATCTTGTTGGCACTTCACGGTCAAAAAATACATTATTAAGTCAAGGCAAACATTTGTGCTCGAATTTATTTATTTATTTATTTTTGTTTTAAACTAAAACTCACCCTGTCTGAAGTGTGATTTGCTGTCGTAGTAACAGACAACTTTGCTTTCGGCGTTACAGTGGGCTATGAATAAGGTAGCTACAGCAAAAAGTAGAAGTGGCTTGAAGGGGCCCATGGTTGGTGCTGTACTGAATGGTTAGCGCGAATTTGCAGCTAGATATTAAAGAATCAAGCCACTTACCATTGGTTTATTGCTGACGATTACTAACACTTTTGTTGTTGTAGTGAATTATTATAATTTTGTAAAATTAGATTATTACATTTTGTGATTCATGTTCTCTAAAATGATTGTGATCGGATTTTTTCCACGTTTTAATGATTGTTCGTGAAATTTTATCTATTTTTTTAATATTCTACGTCCATGTTTTAATTAATAAAAAATAGTATCAAAGTAGCGTTTTTTTCTTTTTAAAGAGCTATATCTATCTCAGGTAAATTAGTGCAGTCTTTTTGAATCACCCTGTACATTAAACCATTTATACTGGAACAATCTGGATTTCATTCGTGTTTTTTGGATTGATTGAATTGATAAATAAATTTGAAATTTTTTTTTTCAGAAATTTTTACTAGTTTTACTAACGAAAAACAAAAAAGACAGCTTTTTATTGTCAATATTTATTTTTTTCTACAATTGTCTGAAAAAATGATATTTGGACACTGACTTCAGTGTCTTATCAAAGTTTTTTTTTTTTCAATTTTGCAATGAAAAAAATTATTCACGGTGATTAAAAAAAACAGATAACTTCAGGATTTTTTGATATTCTACCGGTGTGTTTTAATATATTTTACTAATAAAACACAGAATTATTATTCTTAAAATATATAAAAAAAATAATATCAAAGTGGCATCTTTGAAGCGCTATCTACCTAAGGAAAATTAGTACCTACGCTCTTTTTTAATTACCCTGTATATTAAATTATTTAAACTGGAATAATCTGGACTTGCTTTTTGCGTTGATTGAATTAATAAATAAATTTGAAATATAATTTTTTCATAAATTTCTTAATCTTTGACCACCAAAACACATAAAAAGCAGCTTTCGTCGTATTAAATTTTTCTATAATTGTCAGAAAAAATGACATTTGGGCACTGACTTCAGTGTGTTATCAATGTTTTTTTTTCAATTTTGCAATGAAAAAAGTGACACGACTTTTATTACATTTTGTGATTCATATTCTCAAAAATAATACACGGTGATTAAAAAAAAAACGGAACTTTTACCGGTATGTTTTAATATCTTTTACTAATAAAACACAGAATTATCATTCTTAAAATATATATAAAAAAAATAATATCAAAGTAGCATCTTTGAAACGCTATTTACCTATGGAAAGTTAGTATCTACGATCTTTTTTAATTATCCTGTATATTAAACTATTTAAACTGGAAAAATCTGGACTTGCTTTTTGTGTTGATTGAATTAATAAATAAGTTTGAAATATATTTTTTTCATAAATTTCGAAATTTTTGACCACCAAAACACATAAAAAGCAGCTTTCTGTCGTTAATATTAAATTTTTCTATAATTATCAGAAAAAATGACATTTGGGCACTGACTTCAGTGTGTTATCAATGTTTTTTTTTAAATTTTGCAATGAAAAAAGTGACACGGCTTTTATTACATTCTTAAAATATACACCCTGTATTAAACTATTTAAACTGGAATAATTTGGAGTTGCTTTTTGCGTTGATTGAATTAACAAATAAATTTGAAATATTAATTTTGCACAAATTGCGAAGAGTTTGACTACCAAAAAACATAAAAAATAGTTTTTTACTGTTAATCTTTATTTTTTTCTACAATTGTCAGAAAAAATGACATTTGGACACAGTTATCAATGTTTTTTTATTTTCAATTTTGTAATGAAAAAAATGTGACGGCTTTTATTACCACATTTTATGAATCATGTTTTCTAAAATAGTACACGGTGATTCAAAAAACTCAGATAATTGGGATTTTTTTCATGTTTTACTGATTGTTCTTAAAATTTTATTTTTTGTTGATATTCTGCCTGCAAGTTTTAACATTTTTTACTAATAAAATACAGAATTACCTTCCTTGATTATTAAAAAAATACACTCTTTTTGAGTCACCTTGTAGATCATAACATTTAAACAGAAACAATCTGGATTTCATTCGGTTTTTTTTTGGGTTGATTGAATTAATAAACAAATTTAATATTGATAATAGTGCAAGTCCGTTTCTATCTATTTTATTTTGAAATGGTCACAAATTTCGAAGAGTTTGACTATTAAAAAACATGAAAAACAGCTTTCTGTTGTTTACAAAAAATAACCTTTGGGCACTGATTTTAGTGTGTTAATTGATGTTTTTTTTTTCAATTTATAATAAGCCCAGAATTTCGATGTTTATTTTTTTATTTAAATTTTTGTTGCTTTGTTCTTTTTTGAAGGCTGTAGAAAAGTGTGTTTATTTTGAATTTGAATAAATTTTATTGGTAACTAATTTTTTTTATTAAAGTGAAATATTTTGCAATGAAGATGAAAAAACTATTCGTTCTAGAAAATCGAGCATCTTATTTACAATTTTCAGAAAGAAGTTGCTTGTTTCTTATTTATTGTTTAACTAGAATTAGGTCATGTCGATTATGTAAAGTGTTTATTATTCAAAAATGCACTGAACTTGTTTCTGATTTATCATCGTAATTGGAACTACATAAATTGATAAGTGTATTTATTGCTTAGTCTTTGTTATTAAAAACAGCTGAAATTCATAGTCAATATTGAATTCAAAACACTTCCAAGTAAAGTTGTAATAAATATTCATGATAACAAGTACATGAATCATTTTAATTTTTTTTTCTACCGACTTTGGAAGTTGGGGAAGGAGCAAACATGAGATATCAATTCTTGTAAAAAGTTTATTTGTCAAAATCACATAAAACTAAACAATTAAAGCAATGGAATTCTTTTACAATTACAAGCGAAACTTAGCAGCTCTCAAAATAGGATATTTATCACCAGTACAAAGTCCTCTGAAATCATCTAAAGTGATATCCACAATAGCAACCCCACCCAAACCCTTCGCTTTAGCATAGGAGGCTTTATTTCCTGCAGTATCAGGATCTTCATAACCGACCCAAGCCCCCCCTTCTCCATTTTCATCAGGGGTCCGGAAAGCATAAGTACCTAAACAACACAAAAAAAATTGACACAAAATTTCTTGGTATTTACCATATCTATTAGTAACTTCATTTCTATGCCACACACCTTTCCTCTTTGATGGATCTCCAACTTTCCTCAAGTGTTTACCAGCAGCTGTGGTCAATTTTTGAGGATTTGCAAGTTTGACACACACTTCAGGGTAGCTCAAAAGCCCTTCTTCTTTACTATAAGGACCGGCTTCGTAGGGGCCGTCGATGGAGAGTGGGGGCACACCACTGATGGCGGAGTCTTCGTCCATTTTCCACGCCCGGCCGTAGGTGGGGATCCCCAGGATGAGTTTGTTGTTAGGGGCCCCCTTTTGCAACCAATATCTGACTTGGTAGTCGACATTTTCGTCGTATTTTCGGTCGATTAGTTCGTAGAGAGGGGCCGGGTAGTCGGCCTCTTTGGGGTTGCGTTTGGGGGTGTAGAAGTCGAAGGCTTCGAGGGTGATAAAGTCGAGGTTGGGGGCCAAGGCGCGAGGGTCGTAATAAACCGAGCTGTTGACGTTGGGTAAGACAGTCATTGTTAATAAAAGACCGTCGTGTCTGAAGGCGTTTCTGATTTCACGCACGAGGGCTGTGAACTGTTCTTTGTGTTCTTCGGCCTTTTCGTCAATGACAGACTCGCCGACAATCTTGTGTTTCAGGTTGCTGAAAAACGAGCTGATTTTGCCTCGGATTTTCTTTGGTTTCGTTTCGGGGAATTCCCAGGATAAGTCTAAGCCATCGAAGCCGAAATTCTTGACTAGGGCTTGAGCCGAGTTGACGAAAGCTAAACGATGATCGACTGATTCGAGCTAAATGAGCTAATTTAAGCGAAATTTTACAAAATTTTGATTTCTTACTATTGTTCTGTATTTTATATTGCCGTCATCGCCGATGTCTTCACCTCCACCCACTGATAAAAGCACTCGAAGTCCGGGGAAGCGCCTTTTTAGTTCGGTGATGTGGCGATAATTGTCTCGGGTGACATCGAAAAGCTCATTTAAAGGTTGTGCTTTGAAAGTTTCCGGGTTAATGCCAGCGTAACCGTAGATTAAGTGGGTGCAGAATTGCAAGGCAGGGTCGATGAAGTTCACGTCGAATTTACCCTGACCTGATAATAAATATTTTCAAGATCAAGTTTTTGAAAAAAAGCTATAAATAAAGAACAAAAAATAAAGTAACACAAGAGAATTACGAAAAAGACACCAAAGTATTAAATATTCAATTATTTATGCTTTTTTTATTACAAACAAGTAAGAAAATCTTAGTCAACACACCCGATGTAATAAAAATAAATGAAAACAAAGCAAAAATTAAAAGAAAAACAAGATAAGATAATGAAGAAAGAAAACGAAAATGAATKCATTATGTAATACAAGAGAATTATCAATACAAAGACAGAAAAGTTTAAAAAACAAAACTCGCGTTAAAGTACTACGAACACGTTTTTAAATGAGGAATTATCGAACCAAAATTGCCTTAAAATTCATGTTTTTGCATTTTGTACAAAAAAAAACTATTAAAATTGTTATTTTTATGTTGCAACTGCAAAATTCCAAAATATTTTTGCTTTTTGTTTATTACAAACAAGTGAAATATCTTAGCTGACACACCTTGTGTAATAAAAACAAAATATATAAATCAGTATCAATTTATTGATTTCTCTAAAAAAGATTAAAAATAAAACAAAGTAACATAAAAATTAAAGGAGAAACGCGAAGAGGAAAGACAAATAACAGACAAATTTGACCAAAATACATACAAAAAAAGAAGGAAAAGAAATAAAGAAAAAGAAAGAATAAAACTCAAGTGTGAAGAAAAGAAAAAAAGAAAAAAATGACACAAGAAGCTAAAAAATAATAAAGTAGCACAAGAGAATCATGAAAAAAACATCAAAATACAGACGACAAAAAGTTGAAAAAACAAAAATTGAGTTAAAAAAATACGAAAAATGTTTTTAAATTAGAAATTATCAAACAGAAATTTTCTTAAAGTTCACGTTTTTGCATCTAAATAGAAAATTTTATACTAAAATTGAATTTTTTATGTTACAACCGCAAAAATGAAAAATATTTTTGATTTTTGTCATAAATGATAATAAATCAGCACCAATTTAATCGTTTTTCTGAAAGGGAGTAAAAAGTAAAACAAATTATGTACGCGAAGAGAAGAGAAAAATAACAGACAAAAGGCAATAAATAGACAAAAGAGAATTATCAAAAAAATATACCTATATCAAACTGCAAAGCTAACAAAGTTGAAAAAATAAAAATTATGTTAAAAAGGTTATTCCGAGGGTGATTCTGTACAATAACATTGTTTTAACTTTTTCAATTGTAAAATAATTTTGCTTTCATCGGAGTAGATGTCAACTTCGTTATTTTAAATAGAAAGTTATGTTTTTTATTGCGTTTTTAGATTACTCAAGTGATTTTGAGAGAGTTTTCATTAACCTTCCCTATCCCTAAGAAATATTTAAACTTTTTAAAAAATTTTGTTGGAACCGTATTTGGGTATGCGAGAGAGAAAGTTTACATCTTTTATTTGGTGTATTCATAATTGGAAAAATAATTAACAAGCCACCAGAATGAAGGGTTACGTTTAGCCGGAACACCCTGTATAAATTGATAATATTCTGCTGACCTCAAAAATATCAAATCAAAATTTAGCGAATATTCTAGAAGATATATTTATAGTGTGTGGAAAAGCACAAGTCTTGCATTAGATAATACAATTTTTGCACTTATTTTCCTAATTACAATAACATAATTATCATTATTATTCATATTTTGCTCAGGGTCGAAACGCTCCATTTATTTAGATTTCCACGTTCAAGGCAATCTCGTCTTAAAAAAAAGATAGACCACAAGATGTATGACGTAATTATTTAAAAAGTGCCACTTTATTTGTGGTTTTTGAACCTTGGTGTTGACCGATTTAATGAAGAAATTTCAGAATATGATTGTGTAAACTTTACATGAAAAAAATTGGTCATTCACTTTATTTTTTATGTAAAAACAAAAAACAGCCTTGAACTGAGCACTGTTGAAAAATGATTTCTTCTTGATTAAAAAAATTAACTTACCGTCCCTGAAAAACGCCTTGCTGTTGTAATAGCACACAACCTTATCGTCGGCGGCCACATAGGCCCCCAGTGTTAGAAAAGCGAAAATAAAAATTTTCATAGTTGTCGGCAAAACAGTTCTCGAGACACTGGACGTCCACTTTCGTGGTGTTCTTTTTAGCGATTTTCACACAAGAAGCGTCATAGTTTGTTTAGAGGGGGGAAAGATACGCTTTTTAACACTACAAAAATAAGATATTTTATCGTTATTGTTGAAACATGTCTGATTCAATATTCGGAGAATGAGTGGTTTAATTGTTCTTTTTACAAAGTGTGATTGCAATTATATGTTTGTTGTGGGTCGAATTGAATTACTCGATGGTTTGCATAATTTCGTGTTTCCTGTCTGTGTTTATTTGAGAAGATTATTCAAAAGTGAAAGTAAAAAAATATGTATTTTGATGTGAAACTGAAAATCAGCAATCAGCATATATAATTTTAATTAATTATTAATAAATGACAAGGAAAATTATTTTACAATTAAAAATGTTAAAACAATGTTTTTAGGCGATTATTTTTTGTACAGAATGACCTATTTATCAAGTTTTTGGAAGTTTTTCAACATAATTTTTATTTTTTCAACTTTGCTTCTTTGTAGTTTGATATACTTTTTTTGGTGTTTATTTATTGCCTTTTGGCTTTTTCAATTTTTTGTTTTCTATTTTTTTTATACACACCTGACATTTCTATTCTTCTTTTGTGTTTTGTTCCTTGTTTCCTCAAATTTGTCTTTCCTCTTCGTGTTTTTCCTTTAATTTTTACACAAATGTTTCTCATTTTTGCGGTTCTAACATAAAAAAATCAATCTTAACAGTTTTTTTTTGTACAAAATGTTCTATTTAGATGCATAAACGTGAATTTTAAGAGAATTTCGGTTTGATAATTCTAATTTAAAAACGTTTTTCGTATTTTTTTGACTCATTTTTTATTTATTTAACTTTTTGTCGTCTGTATTTTGATGGTTCTTTCAGATTCTCTTGTGCTACTTTATTATTTTTTAGCTTCTTGTGTTAATTTTTTTTCTTTTTTCTGTTACCCCCACTTGAGTTCTTTTTCTTCTTATTTCTTTCTTCCTATTTTGTATGTATTTTGTTCCATGTTTTTTCAAATTCAAAATTATTTGTCTTTCCTCTTCGCGATTTTCCTTTAATTTTTGTGTTACTTTGTATACTTTTTAATCTTTTTTAGAGAAATCGATAAATTGATAACTGATTTATTTTGTTTTTATTACACAAGGTGTGTCAGCTAAGATGTTTTCACTCGATTGTAATAAACAAAAAGCAAAAATATTTTGCAATAAAAAACAAAAATAACAATTTTAATAGATTAAGATGCAAAAACATAAATTTTAAGACAATTTTGCTTCGATAATTCCTTGATCTTGAAAATATTTATTATGGCTATAGACAAAATTTTAGATAAATATCATTGTTAGAATTCCAAATACTTCAAATGAGGGGTTTAGCCGGAACAGCCTGTATAATATTAATTAATTATTAAAGCAAAATTATTTTACAATTGAAAAAGTTAAAATAATGTTATTAAGCAATTATTTTTTGTACAGAATCACCCTCGGAATGACCTTTTTAACATAATTTTTATTTTTTCAACTTTGTTAGCTTTGTAGTTTGATATATATATATATTTTTTTTGATAATTCTCTTGTGTCTATTTATTGTCTTTTGTCTATTATTTTTTTCTTCTCTTCGCGTACATAATTTGTTTTACTTTTTACTCCCTTTCAGAAAAACGATTAAATTGGTGCTGATTTATTATTATCATTTATGACAAAAATCAAAAATATTTTTTATTTTTGCGGTTGTAACATAAAAAATTCAATTTTAGTATAAAATTTTCTATTTAGATGCAAAAACGTGAACTTTAAGAAAATTTCTGTTTGATAATTTCTAATTTAAAAACATTTTTCGTATTTTTTTAACTCAATTTTTGTTTTTTCAACTTTTTGTCGTCTGTATTTTGATGTTTTTTTCATGATTCTCTTGTGCTACTTTATTATTTTTTAGCTTCTTGTGTCATTTTTTTTCCTTTTTTCTTTTCTTCACACTTGAGTTCTATTCTTTCTTTTTCTTTATTTCTTTTCCTTCTTTTTTTGTATGTATTTTGGTCAAATTTGTCTGTTATTTCTCTTTCCTCTTCGCGTTTCTCCTTTAATTTTTATGTTACTTTGTTTTACTTTTTAATCTTTTTTAGAGAAATCAACAAATTGATACTGATTTATATATTTTGTTTTTATTACACAAGGTGTGTCAGCTAAGATATTTCACTTGTTTGTAATAAACAAAAAGCAAAAATATTTTGGAATTTTGCAGTTGCAACATAAAAATAACAATTTTAATAGTTTTTTTTTGTACAAAATGCAAAAACATGAATTTTAAGGCAATTTTGGTTCGATAATTCCTCATTTAAAAACGTGTTCGTAGTACTTTAACGCGAGTTTTGTTTTTTAAACTTTTCTGTCTTTGTATTGATAATTCTCTTGTATTACATAATGMATTCATTTTCGTTTTCTTTCTTCATTATCTTATCTTGTTTTTCTTTTAATTTTTGCTTTGTTTTCATTTATTTTTATTACATCGGGTGTGTTGACTAAGATTTTCTTACTTGTTTGTAATAAAAAAAGCATAAATAATTGAATATTTAATACTTTGGTGTCTTTTTCGTAATTCTCTTGTGTTACTTTATTTATTACTTTATTTCTTGTTCTTTATTCATTCTTATTTTTTTGGGTCAAAATGCGTCATAATTATAGTTTTTTTGCAGTATAAAAGAAGAATTTTTATTTAAATTGACAGATTTAGAGCCAAAACACTATATTTCAAGCAAAAAGTAATTTTTAACTGGAAATATAGTGCATTCAGTGTAAAACTCTGAGTTTTAATCATTGATAACTGCCCTTCACTGCGTTGAATAATCCTTGTGACCCAAATTGAGTCTTTTCTTCATTTTTTAGTTAATATAAATAGTTCCAATGTTGTTTGTAATGAGTTTTATTGTGATAACCCTTGACCCAATTCGTTTCATTACAAATCTCCATAAACAAATTCCTTGAAACAATGCACACCAGTGATATTTTGAAGCATTGTCAGAAATGTGTCAAAATTATCAAACGTAAAATGTGTGAGTGTTCGGAATTACCATTTTTTCCGAAACACGAAACAATCAATCTACAAAGCCATCCCGAAATACGGGTCACTTATTTTGAACCAAAATTTTCTCAAAGTCATTACAATTACCAAAATGTGTCGATTTCAAGCAACGCTTGTACTTTAATTGCCATTTTGATGGCGTCTTACTGCAGACATGAAAGAATTATCGTAAGTTGGCTCTTCAACCAACATTTTTTCAAAACTAGTTTTAGATTACTAAACCCGATGATCCAATAAACCCGCGATTGATTCATTTACTTGCATACAGCATTTTGGACGGGAATAAAATCCACGAGGAGTTGAAAGCGAAAGGCACTTTGGATAATTTCAATTTAACGGTGCCTGAAGCCATGAAATTCGCCGGCTACAGGGCCGAGGGGCTCACTGAATGGGTAAAAATTTCTTGTTTCAGGGGGCGAAAAAAACATTTCGATTTTAGAAAAGTATGATTTATATGGAGTCGCTGTTCCAATCGCTTTATGGCAATATAAAGAGCAATTTATCGGAATGGTCCAAAAGCAATAAAAGTAAAAGTAATCCAGATTTGTACATTATTTTGATAGCTGATAACAGGAGTGTGCTCTTTATTTTGCAAAAGGAAACGGTGAGGGAAATTTAACGTTGATTTTTGGTAAAATTCCCATTAGGTCACGCTAGTGGACTCCCACCAACACTCCGACTCCAAGGGGGCCCTCATCGCAGTGGGGCTACGAGAAAAATTCAACATATTGTGTCTATGGTTTGCTCATATTGTCAATAAATGTTACAAATGTGATCCCGGCTTGTACGAATTATCGTTTCTATATTTCCAAAGCAAAGCAAAACAACGATAAAAATTGTACACAAAATATTGGCAATTATAAAAATAAATCTGAAGTTTTTTGCTTATATTATAGAACGAGTGCACCAATGCATTATAAAACTGTATTTTATGCTATTTTTTCTAATTTGCGCCCACTTTTTTCTTATTTTAATTAAAAAAATATATTTTTGTCGTCTAGAGAATTTTGTGTTAGTTGGTATCGGTTGGTAACACTTGGCGCCCATCTAATTTTTTGACATTTCTGCCGTGTGTCATTGAAAAAAAATCCAAATTATTAATTATTAGTTTTACAACATAGTAATAATAAATAAAATTGCCGAAGCAACAATGCAAAATTTTTTAAAAACGTGAATTTTAAGAAACTTTCTGTTTGATAATTTCTAATTTAAAAACATTTTTCGTATTTGTTTAACTCAATTTTGGTTTTTTCAACTTTTTGTCGTCTGTATTTTGATGGTTTTTTCATGATTCTCTTGTGCTACTTTATTATTTTTTAGCTTCTTGTGTCAATTTTTTTCCTTTTTTCTTTTATTCACACTTGAGTTCTATTCTTTCTTTTTCTTTATTTCTTTTCCTTCTTTTTTTGTATGTATTTTGTTCAAATTTGTTTGTTATTTGTCTTTCCTCTTCGCGTTTCTCCTTTAATTTTTGTGTTACTTTGTTTTACTTTTTAATCTTTTTTAGGAAAATCGATAAATTGATGCTGATTTATTTTGTTTTTATTACACAAGGTGTGTCAGCTAAGATGTTTTCACCTGTTTGTAATAAACAAAAAGCAATAATATTTTGCAATTTTGCATTTGTAACATAAAAATAACAATTTTAACAGTTTTTTTGTACAAAATGTTCTAAGATGCAAGACTCCAAGGGGGCCCTCAGCGCAGTGGAGTTACAAGAAAAAATCAACATATTGTGTCTATGGTTCGCTCATTTTGTCAATAAATGTTACAAATGTGTACGAATTATCGTTTCTATATTTTCGAAGCAAAGTAAAACAACGATAAAAATTGTACACAAATTGTTGGCAGTTTTATAAGGGTTGAGAGCGCCAATGGCATTATAAAACGAGTGTTTTATGCTATTTTTTCTAATTTGCGCCCCCTTTTTTCTTATTTTAATTAAAAAAAAAAAATTGTCGTCTAGAGAATTTTGTGTTAGTTGATACCGGTTGGTGACACTCGGTGCCCACCTGATTTTTTGACATTTCTGCCGTCTGTCATTAAAAAAAATTACAAATTAAAAGTTATTAGTGTTACAACATAATAATATAATATAGTTTGCACTCCGCCCGAAATTCGCGAAATTGTCCAAAATTTGTTACCTGACAAGTCAGGAAACATACAAAAACTAAATAACCCTAAATTCATTAAAGTACAGTGTGCTTTTACATAAACGTATTATAAACGCAAATTAGAAAAACACAATTAAAATTTTAACTTGGTAATTTCCATTTAAGAAAAAACAGACTTTAATTAAAAACAATATAATTATTTATTACAGCTGATGAAAATTTACAATTGTAGTGCTCAAAAATCCTTCATGTTTGCTATTTACACTCTTCTCTATTTTAATAAATAAAACGAAAACAGACTGAATGACATTAAATCGAAACCGCTCAAGTTGTATAAAAAATAGTAAAACTTTCACAACCGACAAAATTATTAATTAATGCACAATCCGCTATATTGATTACTAAAAGCGTAATCTGTATTTTTAAATCGTTGGAATTCGCAAAAAAAGTTTAATGTCATCCAAGTCTGGCGTTCGGCACGATAGTTTCGCTAGTCGAGGGGGCTGTTTTGGTTATCTTTTGTTCTCGAGGAGGCCCACTCGACGAAATCATCAATGAGGACGGGCCAAGCGCCTTCTTCGTCATAATTACTCATATCATCGGCGATTTGTTGAGCAAAATCTAACAGCAAGTTCCAGGTGTCTTTGGGAATCGATCGTTTGTGGTTTTCCTGGAGAGAAATTTCAACTTTGGGAGATTTTAATTTTATTTAATTACCTGCAGAAATGTGCACCATAAATCCAAGAATTTGAATTTGCCTTTGAGAACAATGTTCCAATATGCGATGGCCATGTCTAGATCTAGTCCTTTTTGGCCCGGATTCTTCGCGTAATTAAAAGTGAACTGATAAAAGTCTTTAAACTTGTAATTATCTCTAATTTCATTTTCTAACGTTGACAGTCTAGCTTTTAACTTATCAATATTATCACAACCTAGTTCTGTCATTCCGGTTATAAATTCATCTCTGGTGAATTCGCATTGTGTCGCAGCCTTGAATTTCCAGGCTATTATCAGGACTAATTTTGATTCGGGAGGTAAGCCTAAATCGTCTAAGAATTTCATAATTCCATCAACTGTGATTTTATCCGGCTCATTGGGGTCTTTATATCTATTGTACAAAGCTTCCAACTTCTTCTTATCGACGTTTCGCGGCTCTTTATAGTAAGCATCAGGATTTTGAAAGTAATTATCGCTGGCTAAGTCCAATTTCCAGTCGTTTTGCGTAAGGCAATAAATCGCTGTATTCTCGCCAGTTTGGGTAAACGATATAAATTTCTTCACTTTTTCTCTTTGGGACGACTTGAGTTTATGCTAGAAAAGACAACATAAAGTGGGGTTAGAAGTTTCAAAATAACTCAGAGAGCCAAATAAACCGGCAAAAAACACGTTTTCGCACATCATTCAATCGTTGCAACCACTCACCATTCTCACAGCACAAGTTTTCACAAGAAATTTCGACCAAAATGTAAAACTTTGAGATGAAAGTGAGGTTATGTCAACCAAAATAATTTTGACATTTCGCTTTGGAAAATCACATTTTTCGCAAATTTTCTTGCTATTTCACTCACCATGGTAGATTGGGGCTTGCACTATAATTCCTAATATTTTTCAATCATTTGATTGGAGTTTCGTTAATGCAGTCGAAGGATCATGAAAATAACCTTAAAAGTCTTGTACAAGGTTGCCACTCTTACAAACAACGACAGAAAACTAGGACGAGAAACCAAAACGCGATAAATAGAGAAAGTGAAAAGAAAGTGCAAGTTTGTTCAATTGTGGGTGACGAAATTGCACCCATTTCCCAAATTTTTCCCCCAAATCAAACATGAGGACGCTCATTTCCACATAACCTCGAATTTGCAACAATGCAATCTTTTATTCAGAAGACTCCAATTGCACGTTTTTGCACCAAGGAAACAGTTAGAGTGCGTTTTGCGCCAAGTCCGACAGGTATAATTCTTAAAAAATAAATTAGTGTTTTATTTGGTCGTTTTTAAGGCTTCTTGCACTTGGGGGGCTTACGAACAGCGCTTTACAATTACTTTTTTGCCAAATCTCGCAACGGTGCGTTTATTTTACGTATTGAAGACACGGATCAAAGTCGCCTGGTCGAGGGGGCCATCGAACAATTGCAACGCGATTTAGACTGGGCCGGGGTACAAATTGATGAGGGGCCAAGCACAGGGGGCTGTTACGGCCCCTATATCCAATCCCAACGACTACACATTTACAGGTACCGGCACTGAATTTTGAAAATCTAGTAACTTTACGTTTCTAAAGTTGTAAGTTTTGAAACTAAAAGTTGGTACTTACAATCTAAAATTAGGTTTAATTATTGAAATAAAAACAACAGGGGGCATGTTGAGACTTTGCTGAACAACGGCTCGGCCTACCACTGCTTTTGCACCGAAAAACGACTCGAGTTGTTACGAAGGGAGGCTATTCGAGTCAGGGAAGTCCCCAAATATGACAACAGGTGTCGCAGTTTAAACCCTCAAGAAGTGGGGGAGAAACTAGCGCAAGGAATCCCATCATGTGTCAGATTCAAGGTACAATTTTGCGAATTTAGTGATTTTAGTTTGTTTGGTAATTTTAGTTGGTAGCTGGGGTTCAAAGTTACCTTGATTTGATTTATGGTGGTTTTAATTACGATGTTGCCGCGAATGAGGGTGACCCAGTCATTGTGAAATCCGATGGTTTTCCCACTTACCATTTTGCCAACGTGATTGATGACCATTTAATGAAGATTTCGCACGTTTTGCGCGGGGTTGAGTGGCAGATTTCCACCCCAAAACACATAATGATGTATAGGTAGTTTTGTTTTGTTTGGTTGGCGACACTTATTGTCGGGTGTGTTTCACAGAGCTTTCAATTGGGAACCCCCGCTTTTTGGACACTTGCCTCTGCTAATGAACCCAGATGGTTCGAAACTCAGTAAAAGGCAAGGGGATATCAGGATTGGTCATTACAGGGATCAAGGGATTTTCCCTTTAGCTTTAATTAATTTTATTGCGAGTTCGGGGGGCGGTTTTGGGAAAGATAGTGAGCAAAATGTGAAACCAAAGTGTTACACTATTGGAGAATTGACACGACAGGTATACCAACAATTATTTTTTTTTATTGTAATAAATTGTAGTTTGATGTTTGTAGAATCAATGCACATTCGGGTAAATTAATGCCAGAGAGACTCTTCGATTTTAATAGATTAGAGTTGAAGCGAAAACTTGAAGACTCTGAAGAGGGGGAAAAACTAGTGGAAGAAGTGCGCGAAATGGTGAAGAAACATTTCCCGGGGGATTCCCTTCAATTGGGGTCAGAACACGTGAGAAATATTCTCCATTGGTCGGTTAATAGGGTCACAAAATTGCCGGATTTACTCTCAGATGATTTGAAATTTATCTGGGTTTCCCCCAAAAGCTACAAAATTGCCGAAAATGATTTAGTTCCCATCAGGATTTTTGTTGAAAAGTTGGATAAACAAGTGTTGGAACGTGACAATTTGAATGCTTTTTTTAAGAGTTTTTGCAAGGAACATCAACTCAAATTCGGGAGTTTCATGAAGACTTTGAGGTCACTTTTAAGCGGGTTGAAGGTTTGGGTTTCAGGCCAATTTTTTTGAAATTATTTTGTTTTTTTTTAGGAGGGGCCAAGTGTTGCCGAAATGATGGAGATTCTGGGCAAAGAAAACACCATTGAACGTCTCCACGCGTGCATAAAAAACAACAAATGAGATAAATATATTTAATATCTTTCATTGTAATACAATTATAACAAAAAGATTAAAAAACATAGTAAAAAATTCAATTTAGAGTTTCGTCCTTGTCGTAGGTTTAGTAAAATAATTCAAGTTTGAGGTTTTATTATGATAACTAAAGAGTCGTATTGCTGGCCATTTTATTACAAGTGACTGCAATATTTTATCACAGAAGTTCAACAGCAGTCTTAGGTAAAAAAACAGATTTTGAGACTTCTCGAAATCTGCTTAAATAATACAAATTCGGTGAATAAAAGTGGTGGTTGTGGTGTTGGAAAACAATTGGGCCACTTTCACCACCAATCAGAGCGGTTTTAGGGAAATTTTGGTCCACGCAAATGTGTCCTTTCGTTTGATTAATGATTGTAGAGTGGAGAAAATAAGGAGAAACGTGAATAAAAGGAATGCAAAATTTGCCGAAATCTTCTAAATCTAGACATTTTGTACATACGGGAATGATCGTAAGGCTACAACATATTTTGTGCTAAGTAATATACAGGGTGTTGCGTCTAAACCCAACATTATAAATATTGCGAATTCGAATAATCGTATTTATTTGAAAATTGGTACATAGCCATAATCCATTAAGTCCTCCTAAATGAAAATATTTTCAAGATGGCGACACTTCCGGTTATACCGGAAGTCGGTCTCAACTTTCTTATTTTAAATGGAAAGGTATATTTTTTATTGCGTTTTTGGATTAATCGAGTTATTTTAAGAGATTTTTCATCAGCTTTCCATATACCTAAATTTAGCCGTTTTTGAAATATTTGGAGTTTTTCAAAAATTTTTGGATTTGCACCTTCCACTTTAAAAATCGGTAACTCTGCCATTTTTTAATATTTTGAATTCGTTTTTTGGCGTTTCAAAGAGAAAGTTTAGATCTTTCTTTTGGTGTTTTCAAATTTTGAAAAAAAATTAACAAACCCCAAAATTTTAAGGGTACTTTTGTAATTCCCCAAATGAAATACCCCAATTGTTATTTTACTAAATGGGATACATTTTTTCCTTTAGTTTCACTAGTTTATCATTCGTAAGGAAAAAATGCCTACTCTATCTACTATCTACTCTATTTAATGTCCAATAGTAATTTACTGTTGACGTTTGTTTATTTTATAAAATTTTGACATTTTTGATTTCCATAGAGTAATAAATTTTCTGTAGTCTTAACAAAAACTCACTCTAACTTGAAAATTATTAAATTTTGGTATAAGGAATGTTAAGACAGATCGATGCAGAATTAATTCTCTTCCATTTAGTAAAATAAAAATCGGGGTATTTCATTTGGAAAAACTGAGTTATGGGTATTTGAATTACAAAAGTAACCTTAAAATTTTGGGGTTTGTTATGTGTTTTTTCAAAATTTGAAAACACCGGAAGAAAGATCAAAGCTTTCCCTTTCAAACGCCAAAAAACGAATTCAAAATGTTAAAAAATGGCAGAGTTACCGATTTTTAAATTGGAAGGTGCAAATCCAAAATTTTTTGAAAAACTCCCAACTATTTCAAAAACGGCTAAATTTAGATTTAACACTTTAAAAAAATATACCTTTCCTTTTAAAATAAGAAAGTTGAGACCGACTTCCGGTATAACAGGAAGTGTCACCATCTTGAAAATATTTTCATTGAGGAGGACTTAATGGATTATGACTATGTACCAATTTTCAAATAAATCTGATTATTCGAAGTTCCAATACTTTTAATGTTTTGTTTAGACGGAACACCCTGTATAACACAGGAAGTTTGGTTAAAGTGCGCTGTTATGGCAGTCAATTTACCTTCTTAGGATCACCAAATGGTTTTGTCACAACTAGTCTAAAAAATTATTCTCTGATATGGTAATTGTGCGAACAAAAAACAGCTCTACCAACAATAACAGTTCTTAGGAAGCTAAGGTTTGACACAATAATCACATTAGGCTAACATGCAAAAGGCAATAAGTAATGATTATCTTAGTTACTTCTATATAACTCGTTCTTTGAAATGATAAATAAACTAACACAGAATTTTAGCATAGTTCTTATACTCCTAAAGTACTAAACTAGTTCTATAAATACTCTTCAACATCCAAAAAAGCTTAAAATAATTTTTTATTAACATGTAAGGTCACCTAAATGAAGTATGAAGAGTCTCGAAGCCGGCATCCTGATTGGTTGTTGCGGCATACCAATCAAAATGGCTTATTCGAGATATTGCAAGGGAAAACAGGTTCGATTCCAAGATGAAGTAAAACAATGCACTTAGCGATAGAACAGTTGAGATATATTGCTAGGGAAAGATAATTGCTTTTAGTTTAGAATATTAGTTTTTTGCTTTTTCAAAGAGAGTTCAAATTTAACGAGTTTTATAAGCGTACGATTTTTATCATTATTTTTGGTTTTATATTGAAGAATAGATGAATTTCGATCTGATGAACATTACATTACACTTAACTAGAATCATTTTATGTACATATATATTCTGGAAATCACAGCAATTTCTCATATCAGTAACTAATATCGATCAACATTTATTTTATTTTATACCGAATTAAAATTAACACTTTCTACGAATGATGATAAAATACGTTGGTCAGCGCATTTTTATTAAAAACTTATAAACCTTGGGTCAAATCCTTGATGGCTTGCAGTATTCTTTTCACATGTCCTACTTTAGTAACCCCTAAGTCTTTCAAATCCCTCCGAGCCAATGTGAGAAGTTCGCGGCCTCGGATGTCGTTTTTAACGAAACTGTCGATGTACTCGGACAATTGGAGAGTTTCCAACCAAGTTGCCACCTCTTGTGTGCCCCACGATGCCACCTCACGGCTGGTTTTCTTACCGGCTTGCTGCTGGCTCGAACTTGCGCCCTTTGTGCGGAATTTCAGCCAGAACAGGCCCTTACGTTTATGTTCACCCTGAAAAATACAAGGTTTTTAGTTATTATAATTTAAGTTATTATTATGAATAAATTTCGTTAATATTTATATTTCCTAACAGCATTACAAGTTTTTAGAAGAACTGATTTTTGAATTGAATTTAAAGTATTTAGTTATTAGTACAAAAGCAACTAGAAAATGTGGTTAAATCCTATCGGATTTTTAAAACACAACGCGTCTCAATAAAAACTGTCAAATCCTATCGGATCTGATTAAGGGTTTTATTTTTATTTAGTAAAGTGTCTTTTAGATTGTAAAAAATAATGTTTGGGTCACTTCGAGTAGATTCAGGTCACTTTAGGCCACTTCGGGTTATTTCGGATTACTTTGGTTTGAAGTAAAAAGAAAGTGTTAAATGTACTGACTTTGATTTTCAAAAGGAGAAAAATTCTTAAAGAAATGTTTACATTTAGTAGTAAAAATGCCAATCGAGACGTTTCAAAACATCGTGCTACAAAAGACAGTTGGGGAGACTAAGAAAGTGTCAGATGTCCCGGATTAAAAAAAATTAGACTTGCAAAAAAACATTTAAAAATTTCTTAAAGAAATGCTTAAATTTACAAAAATGTCATTTAAGACGTTTCAAAACATCGTGCTACAAAAGACAGTTGAGGAGACTAAGAAAGTGTCAGATGTACTAGATTAAAAAATTTAATAATAATTAATAATTATTAAAAAGTTTAGAGATTTTGAGATCTGTTTCAAAAAAAGAAAAATAATCTCATGGGCGTATGACAAAAAAAACATTTAAAAAATTGATCAAGAATTCAAATTTTCAAAATTGTTTTTCTAAAACTATCTTTGAGATTTAGCAAGAATATACTGTGTGTAAATTTTAACAAGTTTATCTCAACGAATTATTAAAATAATTATAAAAAAATTCTTCAGCCCCTTTTTTTCTATTTTAACCCAAAAAAATCATCAATAAGCACCATGTTGTTCGAAGTTTAAAAAAATGATAAAAAGTGTTTGTTTTCAAAAATTAGCTTTGAACAAGCAGTTTTTAGTCTTTATCTGTAAATTTTGGAGCTAGCTTAGTACTCCAACTAAAAAAATTCTAACTTCATTAATCGGTGTCCGATTTTTTTTAAATTTTTACTGTTTCTGTAATTCATTATAAGCTAGCAAAAAACACAACAAAATGGTTTTTTGTTTGAGAATTTGAAATGTACTGACTTTTTGATTTTCAAAAGAAGAAAAATTCTTAAGGAAATGTTTAAATTTAGTAGTAAAAATGTCATTCGAGACGTTTCAAAACATCGTGCCACAAAAGACAGTTGGGGAGACTAAGAAAATGTCAGATCTAGTGGATTAAAAAATTTAATAATAATTAATATTTATTAAAAAGTTTAGAAGTTTTGAGAGCTTTTTCAAAAATAGAAAAATAAGCTCATGGGCGTATGACAAAAAAAAAAACATTTAAAAAATTGATCAAGAATTCAAATTTTCAAATTTTTTTTTCTAAAACTATCTTTGAGATTTAGCAAGAATATACTGTGTGTAAATTTTAATAATCATAAAAAAAGTCTTCAGCCCTTGCGTTTATGCTCACCCTGAAAAATACAAGGCTTTTAGTAAATAATAACCAATTATTATTAATTAAGTTATTATTATGAATGAATTTCGTTAATATTTATATTTCCTAACAACATTACAAGTTTCTAAAAGAACTGAAAAATATGAAACTGAAAAATAAAAATATTCTCATGGGCGTATGACAAAAAAAATTCAAAAAATGATCAAGAATTCAAATTTTCAAAAAAATTTCTAAAACTATTTTTAAGATTTAGCGCCAAAAAATATACTGTGTGTATATTTTACCAAGTTTATATCAACGAATTATACCTAAAATAATTAAAAAAAGTCAGCCTTTTTTTTGTATTTTAACCCAAAAAAATCGTCAATAAGCACCATGTTGTTCGTAGTTTAAAAAAATGATAAAAACTGTTAAAAGCAGTTTTTAGTCCTTATCTGTAAATTTTGGAGCTAGCTTAGAACTACAACTAAAAAAAATTCTAACTTCATTAATCGGTGACCGATTTTTTTGAAATTTTTTATGTTTCTGTAATTCATTCTAAGCTACAAAAAACACAAAAAAATGGTTTTTTGCTTGAGAATTTGAATTTTTTTGGACCATTTTGAATCAGAAAATTGTTCATTACGGCCCTGATATGGAAATGTACTAAATACACAGTGTTCCAAAAATGTCAAATTTTGACAGTTTGGCAGAAAAGAAAATTAATTAACGTTTATTCTTCAAATAATTATTTTTTATATTGACAATAAAATCAATTAAAACAAAATTTTTAATTATGTGTGTTCTGATTGGTTGATTTTACAAGACGTAATTGGTTGGCTAAGGATGGCCAATGATACTAAACTTTAGCGCATTAAATAATTTTTTGCGTTTTATTGGTCTAATAATCGAAAGTGGCTCTGGGGTTGGCTCTTCCCATTGTGCAAAATTCGATCCAATTAAAGTAAGATAACTCACACTAAACGCTGATTTGTTATAAAAATCGATTCAGAATTCAATAATTATTCACGATTTTTTAAATGTGTGGAGCTACTTATCGTTGCTAGGTTTTTGTCGGATTTTGGCCAATAAGAAATAAAAACCGGTTTGTTCTCACGTTACTGGTAATTACGTGAATCGTAAATGATTATTATTGGCCCTTGTAACAAATATGTCCAACCAATCAAATTCAAGATTTTACAAAAACCTCACCGATTATCCATAAAAAAACTGGTTTAATCCAATTCGAATTTGCTTTGAAAAAGACGCAAAAATAATGAATTTCAATTAATTTTTCCAATTAGCCGCGAAAAATTAATGTTAGATAAGGGACTCTTTAATCGATTTTTTTCTCAGTGGGTTCCAAAAAATGCAGATTAAAGCTTTCATGTGAAAAAATTTCGTTTGATTTTCTTGAAGAGTGTAAGCCACATTGTCGCGAAATGTCAACAACTGTCAGATTGAATGATTGAAATCCAACGCACTCTTAGTGATTTTTTTAAAATGTTAATTTAGGCACTTTTAGACCTTTTTTCTTCATGAAACTCTACCACTTTGTAGAATTATGACCTCCACCTTTTGCTGTTTTCTACTTTTAGTGCTTCCAAATTTTCCAAAAATCTCCAGCAAAAACAATTGCTATCGCGCGACAAAGGTAATTTTGAACAAAAAATAATTTTTTTGTTAATTTTTTTTTTAAATAACATTCACCAAGATTTTTTTCAGACCAAATGTTTTTCCAAAATTGGGTTAAGTATCTTAATTATTTAAATTACGATTAAAAAAATCATTGTTTAAGAACTGTGAATCATGTATTTCCCGAAAGTCAAATTGTTTGTTTTTTAGAATAAACAAACAAATTTTGCATTGGAGTATCTTTCGTTTTTTTACAAAACGTTAATTTAGACACTTTTAGACTTTTTTTTCTCTATGAAACTCTACTACTTTGTAGAATTATGACTGAATTTTTGTTTTTTACTTTCACTCAGTCTCTACCTTTTACCGTCTTCTGGTTTTAGTGCTTTAAAATTTTCCAAAAATCTCCAGGAAAAACAATTGTTATCACGCGACAAAGGTAAACTATTTTTTTGTTACAAATTCTTTTTTGATAAGATTCACCAAGATTTTTTTCAGACCAAATGTTTTTCCAAAATTGGGTTAAGTAGGTATCTTCATTATTTATATTACGATAAAAAAATTGTTTAATTCATTGTTCATTGTTTAAAAGCTGTGAATTTATTATTTTTCGAAGGTCAAATTGTACGTTTTTTAGAATAAAGAAACAAATTTTGCATTGGAGTACAGGGTGTTCCATCTAAACCCCACATTAAAAGTATTGGGAATTGGAATAATTATATTTGTTTGAAAATTGATACATAGCCATAATGCCTCCTAAATGAAAATATTTCCAAGATGGCGACACTTCCGGTTATACCGGAAGTTGGTCTCAACTTTCTTATTTTAAATGGAAAGCTACATTTTTTACTGCGTTTTTGGATTAAATTTAGCCGTTTTTTAAATATTTGGAGTTTTTCAAAAATTTTTGGATCTGCACCTTCGACTTTAAAAATCGGTAACTCTGCTATTTTTAAAAATTTTGAATTCGTTTTTTCGGCGTTTAAAAGAGCAAGTTTAGATCTTTCTTCCGCTACAATACTTCTAATGTGACGTTTAGACGGAACACCCTGTATCTTTGGTTCGTAAAAGTGTTACAATTACAAACTTATTTTTTTCAATAACATGTTTTTTGTGTTTTATTATTAAATAATAAAAAATTATGAATACCTGGTCGCCTTGTACCGGCTGTAGATAAACCAGACTTCCTTCCGGTTTCTCAAACATCACACACTTCCTTAATTCCATCTCCGTGTTGGCTAAACTAGCACTTAGTTTGTTCTCCAAATCTTCCCTTAACTTCAATTTCTCGCCTCGATCATGCAAGAGACAGCAACTTTCTTCGTATAGTTGCTTAACAGCAGTTACTAGTTTAGTAAATTCGGTTCGTAACATCGGTCCTTGTAGTATTTTCCCATTTGGGTGAATTTTCTCAAGACATGTATCACATTTCGCTGCTAGCGAATACAAATCGGCTTCAAGCGAATGACTAATAGCTAGTATCTTAATCCATTTGGTCAAAGTAGTGACACATTCGATGAAACCAAGAAGTAAATGATGTTCCTCATCGCTGAAGACAACATCCGGTTCAATTTGACTGATCGGTTTTTCGACAAAAGTGACAGTTTTCTCATGATGGTGCACCGGAACGGCACCACTGAACGAATGTTGTCGAATTTTCTCGAAGTTGACCCCCAAAAAGGAGGACTTCTCATGGCTTGGCATACTTTGGCGTGTGAAACTATGACGGGCTTTGTCATGGGAGATGGAATGTCGTTGTTTGGTCTGTGCAGCTATACTCTGTCTCTGTTTCTCCTCCCAGGACTTGAGGGAGTTCTCCAAGGCCCGGTTCCGGCACAGCATCTGCATCCGGTTCTTGTGCAAAATCCGGATGATTCCGGGAGGCTGAATCCAGGCCTCGCCATCGACTTGAATCGGAACTCCTTCCTCGCCCAAAATATTGATTTGGATGCTTTGACATTGGGCGATTCGGTGGTGTTGCAAGTTGATGAGACGCGAAGCTGCCATTTGGACCGACCCAAAAACTGCCACCACTTCGAGGATCTTGTCGTCGAAGGAGGGTGGGAGGAAAATGTGGTCTTCTTTGTGGCCGCCCCAGAAGTTGATGCCGCCCATGAAGCTTTTGGAGGGTTCAATTACACAGAGTGACAAAAAATCATGACAACTTGACAAATTATACAGGGTGTCCCAGAGCTCCGTATTTCTTCAATTACTCTGACAGTAAAACTCTGCGGTTTCTTTTGGACGATAGACATTCATTTTTTCTATGGTCCAAAAATATTTTCGTCATTATAGGTAATTCCTATATAGGGTGGCGCAACAAAGTTATATTTTTTCTTATGGAACACCCAGTATATTATGCGCTTATTTGAAAGAGTCTTTAATTCTAAAAATATCCATATCAGGTTTTATGGGTCTACCATGGACCGTTTATCAATTATGGGCAATTTTATGATTATTATGGTAGAAATTCAATCAATCTTTTGCAACTACTGTAGAGTGTTCACATTCGCAAAATATTAATTATCTTGATTTTTTCAAATGAAATACCCTGTATGTAAAAAACTATTAAATTCAGAGGCTACTAACAACTGATTTTTAATTACGGTGTTATCTTTTTTTATTATTATATTCTCGTGATTTTTAGATTTATTTGTTAAATCAGAGACAAATTTCCATACTTTTTTCGTAATGTTATCCGATTTAAAAAAGCTATTTTGATAATATGTTTTTTCTTCTGCTGTTAATATTGGATAAGTTTTCTTTATGAAAAAAAGATCTTTCAATTTATTACATGAGATTTGTGTTTCCACATCGATCCATCGTTTTAGTTTTTTTTATAATATTGTTTTTTTAAATGATATACAGGGTGTTTTGTTTTTATTGCTACAAATTTGAACAGATAAAAGAACATTCAATTTTAAGACAAAAGTTTCCTATAAACATGTATCAAAAAATTTTTTGTAAAGAAGCTTCACCCTCTGAAAGGGGTGCGTTTTTATTCAAAAGAACTCTTTTTTGTGAAAAACTATGGAATTAAAATTTTGTTCAAAATTGTTAGAGTTTTTTTTATCCTAACCCCCAGTTTAAAAAAATATACTAAAAAATATACCATTTTCAACTTAATTTGCTAATTTTTTGGCCCATTTGGGTAAAATTTTACTTGAAGAAGGCAAAAATAATTTCGTTTTCGACCCCTAATTTGGGTGTTTTAGCAAAATTTTGTAAAAAAAATCGGTTTTGGTTCAAAAACGTTTTTATTTTATTTGTTTGAAAATAGATGGAAATGATACAATTTTTTGCCTATTTAATTTTTGGGCATGTTTTGATCAAAAACAATTAAGATTTTTACTCAAAAATAAGCAAAAACACCATTTCCTATCTAATTAGATTTCTCGGCTTACTTGAACAAAATGTCGCAAAGGAAAAGAGCATTTTTAACAGAAAAAGTTAAAAAAAAAATTTTTGCCAAAATTTTGCAAAATCTTAAAAAAACAGCTTTTAACTCAAAAACATGTTAAACGCTTTAAAAGGTGCAGTAACTTGGTGGTTTTTTGCTTGTGAATAATTTTTTTTGAAAAAAAGTAGATTTTTAGGTCACCAAAATAAATCCAATAAAACAAAATAGAACGGTAATTTGAATCTAGTTTAATGATTTTGTAGATATTTTAGCGAAATTTTGCGAAAAATAATTTTTTAACTGAAAAACATGTTTTTACCTTCGAAAATGTAAAAAATTGCATAATTTTCGATCTAATTTGGTAGTTTTTGAACTTTTTTGAATGAAGGATATTTGAAACGGCAAAAATATTATAATTTTCGATCTAATTTGGTAAGTTTTGGTCTGTTTTAGCGAAAAAAACTCAGTTAATTAGCCCAAAAATGTATTTAACTGCTTAAAAAAGCAAAAACAGCACAATTTTTATCGATTTTTGGACCCGTTTGAACAAAATTTTGCAAAAAATTGCATTTCTGGCTGAAGAACTTTCTTAAACGCTTGAGAAAGTAAAAAATAACATCATTTTCGATTTAATTTTGTGATTTTTATCTTGTCTCAATGAAGTCTTATTCAAAATTTGAGTTTTTATCTTAAAAACATGCTAAAACGTTCAAAAAAGCAAAAATAGTTTGATTTTCGACCAAATTTGACCATTTTTTTTTCGGTAAAAACACAACAAAACAGGTGTAACATGAATATTAAAAAGATTTTACTCAAAAAGGGTAAGTTGTATCGAAAAAAACGTAAAAGAACTTTTTTTTGTGAAAAACTATGGAATTTAAAATTTTGTTGGTACTCGTAGCAAGAAACTTAGGCAAAAATATACCAAACAATATACCATTTTCAACTTAATTTGCTAATTTTTTGGCCCATTTGGGTGAAATTTTACTTGAAAATGGCAAAACTAATTTTGTTTTCGACCCTTTATTTGGGTATTTTAGCAAAATTTTGTGAAAAAAATCAGTTTTGACTCAAAAACGTTTTTATTTGCTTGAAAATAAATGGAATTAATATAATTTCTTGCCTAATTAATTTTTGAGCATTTTGGACATCAAAAACAATTGAGACTTTTACTCAAAAATAAGCAAAAAACACCATTTTGTATCTAATTAGGAGATTTCTCGGCTTACTTGAGCAAAATGTCGCAAAGGAAAAGTGCATTTTTTAACTGAAAAAGTCAAGAAGAATGTTATTTTGGTCATTTTTTGCCAAAATTTTGCAAAATCTTTTGACTCAAAAACGCGTTAAACGTTTTAAAAGGTGCACCAACGTGGTGGTTTTTTGCTTGTGAATATTTTTTTTCGAGAAAAAATAGGTATTTTATCTAGTTTAGTCATTTTGTGGCCTATTTTAGCGAAAAAAAGTTTTTAGTTGAAAAACATTCAAAAAAAATACTTGAAACGGCAAAAATATTATCATTTCCGATCTAATTTGGTAAGTTTTGGACTGTTTTAACGAAAACAACAGTTTATTAGCTTAAAAAAGCAAAAATAGCACAATCTGTATCGACTTTTCGACTGGTTTGGACAAAATTTTGCAAAATAATTGCATTTCTGGCTGAAGAACTTTCTTAAACACTTGAGAAGGTGAAAAATAACATAATTTTCGATTTAATTTCGTGATTTTTTATCTTGTCTCGACGAAGAAAAATAGTTTGATTTTTGACCAAGTTTGACCATTGTTTTTTCGCTAAGAAACACAACAAAAAAGGTGTAACATGAATATTAAAAAGATTTTACCCAAAAAGGGTAAGTTGTATCGCAAAAACCTCTTTTTTGTAAAAAATTGAATGAATTTAGAATTTTTGTTTTTGAAAGTAACAAAAAACTTCAGCCAAAATAGTTGTAGTAGTACTTTTTATCACAAACCCCCCAAATTTAGGTCGCCCCTGATTAAAAATTTCGATATAAAGGTAATCAACTGGACCAAATTTGTAATTTTATCTAAAATAGTTTTTGAAATATTAGACAAAATCCAAAAAAACATGCACCCCTTTCAGAGAGTGTAGCTCCCTTACATAGTATTTTTCAATAGGTACATGTTCATAAAAAACTTTTGTCTTAAAATTGAATATTCTATCACCTGTTTAAATTTGTAACAATAAAAATGAAACACCCTACAGGGTGTTATATATACAGCGTGTCCCAGAGCTCCGTATTTCTTCGATTACTTTGACAGTAAAGAAGATAACGAAATGCGGTTTCTTTTGAACGATAAACATTTATTTTTTCTATGCTCCGAAAATATTTTCGTCATTATAGATACTTTCTATATAGAGTGGCGCAATAAAGTTATATTTTTTCTTATGGAACACCCGGTATATTATGCGTTTATTTGAAGAGTTTTTTATCAATTATAGGCAATTTTATGATTATTATGGTAGAAATTCAATCAATCTTTTGCAATTACTGCAGAGTGTTGACATTCGCAAAATATCAATTATCTTGATTTTTTCAAATAAAACACCCTGTATGTTATTAGAGCTGTTAATAAGCTTTCTAAAAAACCTAGGGTTTGGAGGTCTTTGTATAATTTGTCAAGTTGTCACGACATGACTTTTTTTGTGTTAGAAAATTTGGGGGGAAGAGTCTCACCTTGGAATGTTGAGAATGACGATACCTTGTAGACTGGGCAGAGGTATTCTTTGACCATCACACTCGAGTTGGACCCTTTGTTCTAGATTTTTGTAAGTCTTCTGGAGCCACTCTTTGCTCCCCAAGACACCATACCACATGTAGTTTTTGGCACGCGATCTGCACTTTTCTGGATGTTCTTCGCGTTTGTGGTGGAAGTCGAGCGAGATTTTGGCATCGATTCCGATGCCAAAATAGTTGTTCATGACGCAGCGTTCGTAGAAACCTTCTAGAAGTGTTTCGTCTGGGTCAATTAGAGGACTTACTGCAGCGCAAAGAGTGTCTGCATTAGCTAGAAGACATTTGCTAATGAAACCACTTCCCGTGCTCACATCTAAAATGCGATACACACCGATAAGACATTCAGTAATACTTCTACTTGGCGTTGCTGGGAAATAAAAATAAAAATAGGGAGAACAATGCTTTGGCGATGATATCCTAAAAAATCAACCAAGACAAGGGTTTGTCATTCCCCAAAGAAACTAAAGGGTTAATTTTGCCCACTACTGGGGAAACTTACTTGGCCATGTTGGTAGTCTCACTAGGGGATTTATGATTGGCAGTTTGCGGTTCTCCTTTTCTCGTTCATCCTTTTTCTTTTCCGCGTCGGTGTAGAAACTGGTTGTGGCAGCAGCAGCTGCCAAAGCGGCAGCTTCAGCAGGATTCAACATGCTGCAGCAGGAAATCCTGCGAGTGGCAGCTGGGGACCGTGTCATAAACTGCTCATTGTCAATCCCAAGCAAGTTTGAACTAGAACTGTTGTTACTAGTGGTGACATCAGTTGATAACTTCTCGGATTTAGAACCCAAATTACGCAAATCCAAATCAGAACCTGAATCAATCTCAACAGATAGTTTCGCCAAACGCTCGCTTCGAATTTCTTCTGTTAGAACGGGCGAAGGGGGCTCCACTATCACACTCACTTGTGGGAAAATACACTAAAGAGACAAATATAACTGTAATTAAATTTTCATAATTACCATTTCAGCTTTAGTATTTAGTAGTAAAAATCGAGACGTTTCAAAACATCGTGCTACAAATGACAGTTGGGGACACTAAGAAAATGTCAGATGTCCAGGATTAAAAAATTTCTAGACTTGCAAAAAAACAAAATTTAAAAAAATGTCATTCGAGACGTTTCAAAACATCTGGATTAAAAAAATTAATAATAATTAATAATTATTAAAAAGTTTAGAGATTTTGAGAGCTGTTT